AGCTCCGAGAGAGAAAGCGCGATACCGTACCTCAGACGAGTGCGTGGGCACCAGGGTGGCCGTGGCCAACGAACTGTCAGTCGAGGTAGGAATGAGAAATGCAAAGGCGAGGCCCCGGACGTCGGCGAAGCGCCCACAAATCATCAACGCCACAATTGCGGGGCCGCGCTGCCTGTTCGCGCGCCGAACAATTCATGGTACGGAAACAAGCAATGGCATAAAAATGAAAACTCTGAGATCCGCGCGGATCTCTCGGATCGGCGCTGGACCCCCCTCCCTGGCGCGCGGGGCGCGCCAGGGGCGGCGCCACAGGCGCCACCAGGGAGGTCCAGCACGGATCCGAGAAATCCGCGCGGACCTCCGAGTATGTTGATGTCATTATTCGTTCCCCGATTTGCAGTTGGCGCAGACAAGCCCTCGTCTGGAGAGGTCCCATATCATGCGCATGTCGTGCGGCCCTGCCTCGGACCCCCCCACACCCAGTGGCAGGCCGCGCGCGCCATCTCCCGCTCCAGAGGCTCGCGCCAGCGCTGAACGGCCCCATGGATGCCCCTGGGGGGAGGAGGAGGAGGAGGAGGAGGAGGAGGAGGAGGAGGAGGAGGAGGAGGAGGAGGAGGAGGAGGAGGAGGAGGAGGAGGAGGAGGAGGCGGAGGGGGGAGGAGGAGGAGGAGGAGGAGGAGGAGGAGGAGGAGGAGAGGAGGAGGTTGGAGGAGGAGGAGGAGGAGGAGGAGGAGGAGGAGGAGGAGGAGGAGGAGGAGGAGGAGGAGGAGGAGGAGGAGGAGGAGGAGGAGGAGGAGGAGGAGGAGGCGTAAGCTTATAGAACCATTAGCAGCGCAGTGGCAGGGCCGCGCTGCCTCCTCGGCGGGAGACACCGTAAGGGCGTTGTCTCCCAGACGCCTTGCAATTAGCAGAACGACTGTGTTTCACCACTCTCCCCCTCAGCGGGCGCGGAGGGGGCAGCAACGGCGGCGGAGGAGCAGGAGCAGAAGGAGGAGGGGGAGGAAAGCAAGCGAGGGGCGCTCGCGCCACATCTCACATCCTACCCCTCCCTTCCGTCCCTGCCCATTGTGCCCAACACTTTCGCAGTCGCAAACCCAGGCGTCGAAACAAACACAGGCAGTTCAACTGCACTTGCAGCTTGGGGGGGGGCAAGGGCCAAGCGCAAGGATGGATGAGGCGGATGAGGATGGCCAGGGCCAGGGGTAGGAAACGCACAAGCAGGAGGACGCCACAGGGGACGACTCGGAGGAGGTGGGAGCAGGACGACGACGACGACGACGACGACGACGACGACGACGACGACGACGACGACGACGACGACGACGACGAGCGCCGCGAGCGTCCCGCCCCGCCTGGTCGGTGCGCGGAGCCTGGGCGAGCGGCGGCCCTCTGCACAGAGGCGGCAATGCCGCCGCACCCGCGGGAGAGGGGGCCCCCGCAGGGCACGCGGCCAGGGGAGAGGAGGAGAGCAGCACTCCTCCCGAATCGCCAGAAGGTTGGAGGGGGGGCGGGGGGGGGGCGGCAGGCGCCGAGGAGAGGTCGGGACGGCCGAAGGCGAACGGCGGAAGGCGGTCCGAGAGGAGAGGCACGGAGGAAAGGCGGCCCCCGCAGTGCACGCTGCTGGGGGATCCAGGGCAGAAGGACATCCCTCAAGAACACGAGATCCTCCGCCGGCCAAAATCACACGCAGAACATCCAAGGGTACCCTTCGCAGGATGCACAAGAACATCCAAAGAGCACGAAGAACGTTAGAGTACCCTTCCCGAACCGACCTCGTCCGACTGCAATGTTGGAGGGGGGCGGGTGCAGTACCTGGGAGCGGCGGGCGCGAGCAGTCACAGTGCCAGGGGAAGGGGGAGAGCACAGTAGTTGTTGGAAAGAAGGAGTGGTGGAGAGGGTGAGCAGGGGGACGAGAGAGAGGGCGAAGCGGAGGAGGAGGAGCTGAATGAGAGGGCAGGTTACAGTCAACCCGTATAATAAGGACGCGCGATAATGATGCAAGGGCCTTGGAAGGCCATTTCGAGGCTTTTCGAGCCGGGCACGGCCAGCGAAAGTGGCCAAGGATGGGCCGAAGGGGCAAGGACGCAGGGGCACCCTTGGGAAGGGTGCCCGTCCCTGTCATGCGTGCTGACTGCAGGAGAAGTGGGGGGAGCTTGGGAAGGAGGGGAGCGCACACGCTGGAAGCCTATGGAAGGGGGAGGGGAAGACGGCAGAAGCGACGAGGGCAGGAGGGGCGGAGGGGGCCACAAAGATGGCGGCAGGGGGGTGGCAGTGGAGGAGAGGGAGGGGAGATGGGGGAGGGGGGAGAAGGGGGGCGGGGAGGAAGATGTGAAGTGAGTGTCCGTGTGGAAGAGGGCTATGAGGAATGGACGGGAGGAAGGTCGGGAACTACTTGCACATACACATTTACACCTATGTATAAATAACAAGAGAGAGGCAACAAAAAGAGACCACACAACAACCAAAAAGAGATAGAGAGATAGCGAGAACGGACAAGGAGAGAGAAACCGACAGAAAGAAAGAAGGGGAAGGAAAGATGAAGGGATGAAGGGATGAAGGGAGAGAGAGAGAGAGAGAGAGAGCGAGAGGGCAAAGGACAGGAAGAGGGAGAAAGAGAGAAAGGAAAACAAACACCAAAAGAGAGCAATGGGAAGGAGGAGGGTAAGGACAGGGATGGGATGAAGAGTATACAGGCGCAGAAAAAGAGGATAACGAAACTGGAGTAGGAAGATGACAGAAGAGAGGAGCGATGAGGAGGAGCCAAGAGCAAGGGGACAAGGAGTGGAGCCAAGAGGACAAGGCGGAAAGAGAGAGGAAGAAGAGGATTAATATAATCAGGATTGTCTCTTCAACTGTCGGATGAAGGCGTTGTCTCTGAGTAGAGAGGAGAAGGACGAAGAGAAAAAAGAGGAGGAGGTGGGAGAGGATAGGGAGGGGATGGGGGACCGCACCGATTCGGACAAGTCTGCCCAGGCCCGCTGGGTGCGAGCGCGGGCCGGACCATCCTCTCCAGCGAAAGACGCCGGTTAACAAACAGGTGTTGGAAAAATCCCCCCCCCTGGGAAAAAACTGGAGGGCGTGGCGATGAGGGCGTGGCACGCCTCCCCCCGTGCGCCCGTGCTGCAGGGAGGCACCAGGTTGTCGCGCGCTTTGGCGTGCGCACCGCGGTGCCCTGGGGGAGAAGGCGCCGCGTTGGGGCATCCCCTCGACGGCCCACAGCCAGGGCTGCGGAACAGGGTGCAGGGTGCTTTCGCAGCGCACGAGAGGTTGGAGAGGCAAGCGCTGGTGCACCAGCGGTGAGAGGCAAATCACGCCTGGAAAGCTTCCTGGAGAGTGGCCCTGGGAGACACATTTTTGCATCGGCGGCGAGGCAGAGGCAGTCCGCTCCAGCGTGTGGCTGTTCGGCGCAACCGAAAGGCTAAGTGGCCGGCGTGCAAGAGGGGGGAGAAAGACGAGAGTGGCCGCGCGAGGGGAGGAGGGAGGGGAAAGGCCCTGGGAGAAGCAGGCGTGCGGAAAGCCTGTTGGAGGTCATTCCAAGCGGACTGCGCTCTTTGGAGCCTGGCCAGGAGAGGTTCTGACTGCTCCCGGATGCCTCGCAGTGTGTGCGCGAGACTGGAGGCGCACTGCTGCAGCTCCGCGGTGCTTGTGGCGAGGGCAATTTCACCATCTTGGGCAGGCCGTTGCCTGGCCACGGTGGGGCGTTGCGTGACAGCACGTCTCCGATCGAGGGGCTGCGCTGGTGTCGCTGGAGTCCTGTCACCTTGGTGGGTGGCACTGTGACCATCAGTTCCCGTTCCCTGGTGGGACGGGGCGTGGGCCTGGTAGCAGGATACAGTCGGGGCGTTGACCTAAGGAACCCTAAAAAAGGAACGAGGCCCCTATTTTCCACAAGTTAATCTTCGATTTCACATCGAAAACCTGAGGAAAACCTAAGGCAAGCTGCGAAACAATCAAGGCACACGGAGCCCCTCCCCAATGGAAAGGATTCCTTCTTCAGCGCCCCGACTGTATGCTGCGCTGGGGGGCTGGGTGTGCGCCAGCTCTGGCCGGACCTGCGGGCTCGGGCGACGGAGCTGGCCCACTATGGGAGGCGCAGTCCGCGACCCCTCGCGCTTACCCTGCACCGGGTCCTCTCCCAGGCAGTTGGCGTCAGGGGTGTTGTTGCCCACTGGAGAAGTGGCTGGTTTCAATCGGGGGGGGGACGGTGAGGTCCCTTCTGCCTCCTGCGGTCCAGCCCCAGCTTAGCATGCCTGTGTTTCGCGGTTCAGCGCCTTGAGGTGGGGTCCTGGTGGGCCTTCGCCTCCAGGGGCGCCGTCGCCTTGTGCCTGCTGGGACGAGGAAGTCGGCTTTCGTCGTCCGCATCGTGACCATCGCTGTCGTGACTTGTGAGTGGGATGGGGGTGTCTGTCCGATCTGGCGTGTGGCCCTGACTGCGACGGCGCGTTGGGGTAGCAACGTTGTCGTCGTCATTGTCGAGGGCCCCGCCCTGACCCAGTGGGTCTGCTCCTTCACCGTCAAAGTTGTCGGGAAGGGTACCCCACGGATCATCAAGGTCGTCGCAGTACTCTGGCCCTGGTGGGCCTTGCGAGTCAGGAGGGTCTCCGGATGAGCCTGGTGGCTCATCTCCCCCGCCCCCATGTAGCAAGAGAAATAGACTTCATTCGGTGGAGTTCCGACCCGGAATGGCCAACTCGTTTGTCTGGCAGCGGCAGTGTGTGGTGACGCCAGTTGTAGATGGCTGCCGCGATGTGGAGGACAGCGGCAAATGTATGTAGCCTCCTGGTCACGTCAATCACATCCTGAGGCAGAAAGTGCAGACGGGCTCCAGCTGTTGCTAGCTCGTCAGTGTCAAAGTGGATGGGGGAGAGAAGGAGAGAGGAGGGGGAGGAGGGAGAGGAGGCAGACGAGGGGAACGAGGATGGGGACGAGGAGATGAACAAGTGCGAGGGAAAGGGAGGAGAGGAAGGTGGGAAACAAGCGGAGGCAAGCACCGATACATTTTCTCCGTCCAGGGCGCGACTCAGTCGGACACAGCACGCAGCTGTTCTACGGAGGACAGAGAAAGGACGTGGGGAAATTCGCACACAGACGAATGGCAAGGCTGGAACCAGAAGACGGACCGCAGGGAAGCTGGAACAAATTCGGTAATGAAGGACAGCAGGTAAGCTTAAGTCGGGCGTGTCCCCCTACAGGGGGATTTTGGACGAAAAATGAAAAATATGTTTTTTGTTTTAAACGCCCTAAAAGTTTCAAAAATGGTCAAAACATCGTCCCCATACTATTTTTTGACTGTTTTTGAATATCCCCCCTGTAGAGGGACAGGCCGGACCTAAAGGTAAGCTGGGGCTGCCGAGGAAAGGCTGCATGGGAATCTGGCAACTCACGGACGGTGGAAGTGGCCATGACTGACAACATCCGAGAGACCCTCTAAGAGGCCTCAAGAGGATCCCCGAGGCACCACAGACGCTCAAAGACGGCCCTGGGCCCACCAAGACGCCCCCCCAGACGCCCCAAGAGGCCTCCAACAAGCTTCCAAGCGACATCCGATGGGGACTCCGAGAGGCGTTCAAGAGGCTTCTGGCTCTTCTGTTTGCCCTATTCCTCCTCCTCCTCCTCCTCGTCCTTTTTCACGTTCTCCTACTGTTTCCTCCTCCTCGCCGTCATCAACCTCCTCCTCCTCCTCCTCCTCCTCCTTCTCCTCCTACTTGTCATCATCTTCCTCCTCCTCCTCCTCCTCCTCCTCCTCCTCCGCCCCCTCATCCTCCGCCTTCGCATCCTGCTCCTGCTCCTGCTCCTGCTCCTGCTCCTCCTCCTCCTCCTCCTCCCCCTCCTCTTCATCATATTCCTCCTCCTCCTCCTCCTCCTCCTCCTCCTCCTCCTCCTCCTCCTCCTATTACGACTAGTAAAATTACTATTAAAATTTACTTACATTATTATTATTACTAGTACTACTAGTAAAATTGGTATCATTAGTATTAGATCTCCTGGCTATTATTATTATGCTTCTCAGTATCCTTACCATTTTCCGTCTTAGTAGTACCATTATGATTATGATTCGTATTAGTATTATTGATATTGTTAGTATTGTTATTGTGATCATTCATAATATTATTAGTATGATCAGTCTTATGATTAGTATTACTAGTTTTACTCGTGTTCGTATTAGCAGTAGTTCGTATCGTGTTCTTTCTTCTTATTATTCTTCATAGTCTCAGTAAAGTTCGTATGATTACTGTTTCTCTTTAAGATTTATATTATTAGTATTGCTCGCAATAGTACTATTATTACTCCGTTTCCTCCTCCCCCCCTCCTTCTCCTCCTCCTCTTCCTCCTCTTCCTCCTCCTCCTCCTGATCCTCCTCCTCCTCTTCTTATTAGTATGATTCGTCTTCTCACTCTTATTATTGTTCGTGTTCGTCTTCTTCTCATTCTTCTCATTATTCATATTATTCCGCTTAGTATGTTTATTATTATGTTTCGTCTTATTATTAGTAGTATTAGTTTTATACGTATTATTCTTCTTATGACTGGTGTTAGTACTATTCCTATTATTATGATTCGCCCGGTTCTTCTTATGTTTCGCGTATTATTAGTATGATCCTTATTATTCCTCTTCCTCCTCCCCCTTCTCCTCCTCCTCCTCCTCCTCCTCCCCCTCCTCCCACATCCCCATCCTCCTCCTCCTCCCTCCTCCGTCCTCCCTCCTCCTCCTCATCATCATCAGCATCCTCGTCTTCTTCTGCTTCGTATTATTATTATTATTAGTATTGTTATTATGTTTCGGCTTCGTCTGCTTCCTCTTCTTCTTCTTAGTCGTATTCTTTGTGTTGCATTATATTTTTTTAAATTGACACGCTCATTCTTATTAGTATCGGTATTTCTCTTATCCGTATGCTTATCCGTAGTCTTATTATTAGTAGTATTATCCGCTTTCTTCTTCTGAATGATGTTACTGTTATTAAAATTATCATTCTACTTCTTCGTAATATTATTCATCTGACTAGTAATAGTATGGTTAGCATTAGTAGCACCGTCTTCTTGATTCAGCTCAGTGTCAGTATGCTTCCTCTTCGTATTATTATTATTATTAATAATATTATTTGTCGTATCAATACTTTTCTTATTAGGATTCGTATTCTTCTTAGTCGTATTAATATTCTTCTTCTCATCATTACTATTACTCGTATTAAGTTTATCCGTCGTTTTGTTCGTATTTTTTTTTAATTTTTAGTATTATAATTCGTCGTCGTATCATTATTATCATTCCCAACCATCCTGTGGTGTTGGGTCCTCGTTTTGAAGAGACGGTGCCCGCGTCCTCTCCTCTCCTCCTCCTCCTCCTCCCCCTCCTCCTCCCTCCTCCTCCCTCTCCTCCCTCCTCTCTGCGTTTCACCCACCCATTACAGCGCTTCGTGGCTCCATAGGGAGCTCCACCGAAGGCCCCAGTGGGGGTGTTCGCATGCGGTTCCCCCACCCAGGGCAGCGTTTCGTGGCCCCATAGGGAGCTCCACCGAAGGCCCCAGTGGGGGTGTTCGCATGCGGTTCCCCCACCCAGGGCAGCGTTTCGTGGCCCCATAGGGAGCTCCACCGAAGGCCCCAGTGGGGTGTTCGCATGCGGTTCCCCCACCCAGGGCAGCGCTTCGTAGCCCCATAGGGAGCTCCACCGAAGGCCCCAGTGGGGGTGTTCGCATGCGGTTCCCCCACCCAGGGCAGCGTTTCGTGGCCCCATAGGGAGCTCCACCGAAGGCCCCAGTGGGGGTGTTCGCATGCGGTTCCCCCACCCAGGGCAGCGTTTCGTGGCCCCATAGGGAGCTCCACCGAAGGCCCCAGTGGGGGTGTTCGCATGCGGTTCCCCCACCCAGGGCAGCGTTTCGTGGCCCCATAGGGAGCTCCACCGAAGGCCCCAGTGGGGGTGTCCACATGCGGTTCCCCCACCCAGGGCAGCGTTTCGTGGCCCCATAGGGAGCTCCACCGAAGGCCCCAGTGGGGGTGTCCACATGCGGTTCCCCCACCCAGGGCAGCGTTTCGTGGCCCCATAGGGAGCTCCACCGAAGGCCCCAGTGGGGGTGTCCACATGCGGTTCCCCCACCCAGGGCAGCGTTTCGTGGCCCCATAGGGAGCTCCACCGAAGGCCCCAGTGGGGGTGTTCGCATGCGGTTCCCCCACCCAGGGCAGCGTTTCGTAGCCCCATAGGGAGCTCCACCGAAGGCCCCAGTGGGGGTGTTCGCATGCGGTTCCCCCACCCAGGGCAGCGTTTCGTAGCCCCATAGGGAGCTCCACCGAAGGCCCCAGTGGGGGTGTTCGCATGCGGTTCCCCCACCCAGGGCAGCGTTTCGTGGCCCCATAGGGAGCTCCACCGAAGGCCCCAGTGGGGGTGTTCGCATGCGGTTCCCCCACCCAGGGCAGCGTTTCGTAGCCCCATAGGGAGCTCCACCGAAGGCCCCAGTGGGGGTGTTCGCATGCGGTTCCCCCACCCAGGGCAGCGTTTCGTGGCCCCATAGGGAGCTCCACCGAAGGCCCCAGTGGGGGTGTTCGCATGCGGTTCCCCCACCCAGGGCAGCGTTTCGTAGCCCCATAGGGAGCTCCACCGAAGGCCCCAGTGGGGGTGTTCGCATGCGGTTCCCCCACCCAGGGCAGCGTTTCGTGGCCCCATAGGGAGCTCCACCGAAGGCCCCAGTGGGGGTGTTCGCATGCGGTTCCCCCACCCAGGGCAGCGTTTCGTAGGCCACCGAAGGCCCCAGTGGGGGTGTTCGCATGCGGACCCAGCTCGTAGCCCCATAGGGAGCTCCACCGAAGGCCCCAGTGGGGGTGTTCGCATGCGGTTCCCCACCCAGGGCAGCCGCCCCATAGGGAGCTCCACCGAAGGCCCCAGTGGGGGTGTTCGCATGCGGTTCCCCCACCCAGGGCAGCGTTTCGTGGCCCCATAGGGAGCTCCACCGAAGGCCCCAGTGGGGGTGTTCGCATGCGGTTCCCCCACCCAGGGCAGCGTTTCGTAGCCCCATAGGGAGCTCCACCGAAGGCCCCAGTGGGGGTGTTCGCATGCGGTTCCCCCACCCAGGGCAGCGCTTCGTGGCCCCATATGAGCGAGCAACGACATATGTACATGTACGCCCTCCGCGATCTTGAATGCACGAACGTCCTCGTCCAAACGCCCTCCAGGGGAAGCTAACCGCGTACGTGTACATATGTTGCTGGCCTTTGACCATAGGGAGCTCCACCGAAGGCCCCAGTGGGGGTGTTCGCATGCGGTTCCCCCACCCAGGGCAGCGCTTCGTGGCCCCATAGGGAGCTCCACCGAAGGCCCCAGTGGCTGCTCTCGCATGCGGTCCCCCCACCCAGGGCAGCGTTTCGTGGCCCCATAGGGAGCTCCACCGGAGGCCCCAGTGGCTGCTCTCGCATGCGGTTCCCCCACCCAGGGCAGCGCTTCGTGGCCCCATGGGGAGCTACACCGAAAGCCCCCGTGGCGCAGTTCGCATGCGCTTCCCCCACCCAGGGCAGCGTTTCGGAAGCACCATAGGGAGCTCCACCGAAGGCCCCAGTGGCGCAGTTCGCATGCGGTTCCCCCACCCAGGGCAGCGTTTCGTAGCCCCATAGGGAGCTCCACCGAAGGCCCGCCCCGGTGGCGCAGTCCGCATGCGGTTCCCCCATCCAAGGCAGCGCTTCGTGGCCCCATATGGAGCCCCACCGAAAGCGGCACCCACAACGCGTTACCAACAATTGCTTATGGTTGGGTCTTTCGCCAGGATAATGTTTTTCGTGTTATTCGCCTTATTCGTATTATTATTCTTGTTAGTATCATTCGCATTATATTATTATTATTCGTCTTAGTATTATTCCCCACATCCTGAGTGGGGTTCTTGTTTTCCCAGAACACCCTCTCCTTCCCACCCACCTCCCGCTCCATCTTCCATACAGCACAATATTATTCCTACCACACACACCATACCATACCATAGTTCCTACCACACATACCATACCATACCATATCATACCATACCACACCATACGTACCAAACCGTACCATACCATACCATGGCGTACCATAGCATACCATACCATATCACACCAATGCCACACCGTACCATACCATACCATACCTCCAGTACCATACCATACCATATCATACCATACCGTACCCTCCCACCCCTCCAGGGAGGCCCCGCCTGAGCGAGGAGGGTATCGGAATACCATACTATTTACATGGTTTCGTGCCCCTCCCACCCCTCCAGGGAGGCCCGCCTGAGCGAGGAGGGTATCGAAATACCATACTAGGTTCAGTGTGGGGGGTGTGGGCGGTTGGGCCACGGGGGGGCGGTCCACCCCTCCAGGGAGGGGCCCCGCCTGAGCGAGAGGGTATCGGAAGAGAGCCATACTATTTACCACCCCCCCTCACTCCCCTCCAGGTAGGCCCCGCCTGAGCGAGGAGGGTAGCGGAATACCATTCTATACCATACTATACCAATGGTTTCGTGCCCCTCCCACTATCCCTCCAGGAGGCCCCGCACTGACGACGAGGGTATAGGAATACCATACAATTTACATGGTTTCGTGCCCCTCCCACCCTCCAGGAGGCCCCGCCTGAGCGAGAAGGGTATCGGAATACCATACTATTTACATGGTTTCGTGCCCCTCCCACCCCTCCAGGTAGGCCCCGCCTGAGCGAGGAGGGTATCGGAATACCATACTATTTACATGGTTTCGTGCCCCTCCCACCCCTCCAGGGAGGCCCCGCCTGAGCGAGGAGGGTATCGGAATACCATACAATTTACATGGTTTCGTGCCCCTCCCACCCCTCCAGGGAGGCCCCGCCTGAGCGAGGAGGGTATCGGAATACCATACTATTTACATGGTTTCGTGCCCCTCCCACCCCTCCAGGGAGGCCCCGCCTGAGCGAGGAGGGTATCGGACTACCATACTATTTACATGGTTTCGTGCCCCTCCCACCCCTCCAGGGAGGCCCCGCCTGAGCGAGGAGGGTATCGGAACACCATACTATTTACATGGTTTCGTGCCCCTCCCACCCCTCCAGGGAGGCCCCGCCTGAGCGAGGAGGGTATCGGAATACCATACTATTTACATGGTTTCGTGCCCCTCCCACCCCTCCAGGGAGGCCCCGCCTGAGCGAGGAGGGTATCGGAATACAATACTATTTACATGGTTTCGTGCCCCTCCCACCCCTCCAAGGAGGCCCCGCCTGAGCGAGGAGGGTATCGGAATACCATACTATTTACATGGTTTCGTGCCCCTCCCACCCATCCAGGGAGGCCCCGCCTGAGCGAGGAGGGTATCGGAATACCATACTATTTACATGGTTTCGTGCCCCTCCCACCCCTCCAGGGAGGCCCCGCCTGAGCGAGGAGGGTATCGGAATACCATACTATTTACATGGTTTCGTGCCCCACCCACCCCTCCAGGGAGGCCCCGCCTGAGCGAGGAGGGTATCGGAATACCATACTATTTACATGGTTTCGTGCCCCTCCCACCCCTCCAGGGAGGCCCCGCCTGAGCGAGGAGGGTATCGGTATACCATTCTATTTACATGGTTTCGTGCCCCTCCCACCCCTCCAGGGAGGCCCCGCCTGAGCGAGGAGGGTATCGGAATACCATACTATTTAC